GGCCTCTCACTGTTGTGGCCTCTCCCGTTGCGGAGCGCAGGCTCAGCTGCCATGGCTCACGGGCCCAGCCGCTCCGCGGCATGTGGGATCCCCCCGGACTGGGGCACGAACCCGTGTCCCGGGCATCGGCAGGCGGACTCCCAACCACTGCGCCACCAGGGAAGCCCTAGACTGTGTAATTTTAAAACTCCCTACAAACAAAAGTCCAGGACAGGATGCCTTCACCGGGGAATTCTACCAAACATACAAAGAAGAACTTATATCCATCCTTCTCAAACTCTTCCAAAAGATCGAAGAGGAGGGAACACTCCCAAAGTTGTTCTCACAGTCGTCCTTTGTTTGGTCTACACAATAATAATAATAACAAATATACTCTTACAAGTGATCAGGTGGAAAACTCATTTAACTTCTTACTGCACCTTAAGCTGTAGGTACTATTGTTCCTTCCATTTACAAAAGAGTAAATTGAGGCTCAAAGAGATGAGGAGTCTGACCTCAGGTCACACAGTCTGGGATTTGAAACCAGGCAGGCTGGCTGAAAAACCCTTGATATTTTTTTTAGAACTTTAAATTTTGTACTAATTTTAGACTTAGCAGAAAATTTGCAGATATGTTACAAAATTCCTGTGTCCTCACCGTGTTTCTCCTAACGTTAACATCTTGACATTTTAGAGTCCTGAGCCGTTGTTTTTCTGTAGGATATCACTCCTTTGAGGTTTATCTGATGTTTTCTCATGATTGGAGTTAAGTGAATTGGATTCTGGATTTTTCTGGCACGACTATCCTAGTGGGATATAGTGTCCTTCTCAGTGCATGGTATCAGAGGGTTTATGACACTGACATGGCTTATTGCTCTCACTGCTGACATTAACCTTCATTGCTTGGTTAAAGTGGTGCCTGCTGGGTTTCTCCACTGTAAAGCTTTTATTCTTTCTTTTGTAGTTAACAAATATCTCGGGGGGTCGGGGGTGGATTCCTTAAGGCTATGCAAATCAGGTTTCTCCTGAAATTTTTGCCCACTAATTTTAGCATTCATTGGTGGACCTCGTCTGCAAGAATTATTAGCATGGGGTTTGCCTAATGGTGATTTTGTTATTTTCTAATTCTCTTTCTTGTCTAATTGAAATTTTACTGTAAGGAAGGGCTGTTCCTCCCCACTCCATTTATTTATTTATTCAATTATTTCTTTATATCAGTATGGAGTTACTGATATATATTTTGTCCCCCGGATTAAATCCAATACTATTGCTATTTATTTTGTGACTCAGATTGTCCCTGATTTGGTCTTTTGATTTTCTTCAGATGGGCTTCTGGGTTCTTTCAACTCCCCCGCCAACCTCACTCCAACATCATGGTTTTTCTTGGTTTGTTTTTTTTTAAAAGGGATGACATTTATTCCTTTTCCAAATGTTGCAGTAAAACCAGGTGGAAAAGAATGGTTTTAGCAGTTAGAAAAAAAAAAAAGTACAAATCTGGGGTTTGGCCTTTAAAAATTGTCTACAACAATGGGAGGGGGTAAAAAAAAGACAAGAAGTTGTTTCACATTACATACCTCCCCCCCAACACCCCCAGAGCTTAATACTTGCTCACCAAGTCAAAAAAGAGACACAGCTGATTCACAAGCTGGAGGTTTGAATTTGAGTTAAGACATTTACAAAAACCTAGACAGGGGCAGTGTCCTCCCCAGCCCAGGCGCCACTAGACACAGCACAAGAGACTACAAACTCAACAGGGGAAGGCTGGACACTCAGGGTGTGGGAGTAGGCACCACCACATCTGGCTCAGGGATTTGGGGCGTAAACAAAGCCTACTTGGAAAAGAATTGGGGACGAAAACCAGCAACTGCCTTCTGCACAAGTGGGGACAGGGAAGGAGGCAGGGACAGGGGCAGGGGCATTTCACATCACTAACCTAACTTGGGAAACTGCAAGGGACCACGTTCAACTGGCCTTAAGAGGAAGACCAGATGGATGATGGGAGAATCCACAGGAGGGAGAGGAGGAGAGAGAACGTGGCTAGCGGACAACAGACCCTTCCTTTCTGAGCACAGGAAGGCAGCCAGGGCACCAGGTCCAGGCAGCGACCACAAGGACAGCACAGTTTTTGCAGCTTAGGGATCACCCATCTGCCCCCACCCAGATACTCACTCTGCTCACTCGCTGTAGGGCCACTCTCTGGCCAGAGGGAGTGGATGGTTGTGCGCCTGGGGCCCTGCCTCTTCCGTGTCTCCTTCCTTGGAGGCAGCACCAGCCTCAGCCCCTTTGGCCTGCGGCTCCTGGCTCTCAGGGGTGGCGGCAGCCTTCCCTGCCTAGGCAGTGCCTTCCTCGCTGCAGGCACCGACCTCCCCCTGCTCCGGCTCTTCCTCTGTGTGTGACGAGGCAGACGGATCACCCCACCCTCTTTCCGATTTCTCTTGAAGGACAGGCCACTCAATTTGAAAGCCTTTTTATAAAAAAATTATTTATTTTATTTATTTGTATTTGGCTGCGTTGGATCTTCGCTGCTGCGCGCGGGCTTTCTCTAGTTGCGGTGAGAGGGGATTCCTCTTCATTGCGGTGCGCGGCGCGGGCTTTCCGTTGCGGTGGCGTCGCTCTAGGCACGCGGGCTTCAATAGTTGTGGCTCGCGGGCTCTAGAGCGCAGGCTCAGTAGCTGTGGCACACGGGCTTAGTTGTTCCACAGCACGTGGGATCTTCCCGGACCAGGGCTCGAACTCGTGTCCCCTGCATTGGCAGGCGGAGTCTTAACCACTGCGCCACCAGGGAAGCCCCACAATCCCCTTTTGATGATACTGGAAAAACACTGTCCCCAGTGAGTGTGTCCCATGCTTATACTGCAGGTGGGTGGGGCAGTTCAGGGTGGATACATCAAAGGCAGCAAGAGGCTTCATCTGCATTACATCAGGAGACTGGAACTCCTTAGGGATCCTGCAACAGTGAGGCTAGCCACAACCCCTGGACTGGGTTGGGGACAGCCGGATCCTGCCATTGCATGGTCCTCTCTCACCCTCATCATGACTAGAATGTCACAGTTGTGGTGTCACTGTGACACTGTACCACATCCACCACTTGCCTAATGCTTTTAACCCTGATTGATAATCTTTGACTCCATGATTTTCTTAGGGCTTGGGAAACGGGGTGCTAACACTTCCATGCTCTCAAATGGAGAACACCTTCTATGGTGTTTTCTTCTGTACAGTTTTCCCTCCTCACCTGGGACAACTCCTTACTCTGAACCAAGTATTCACCAAGGCTGTAACATTGTATTTCTATTAAAAAGACATGAGACACTTTTGACAAAATGTGTCATTTATTACCTATGATCGGCAGATATATTGCTCATTTATTCTCTCCATGTTTAAAAAGAATTTCAAAATAACAAAATTATTATATACCCCATACAATTCAGGGTAGGGTTGGGCTCAGGGGACCGCTTCATTGTTCACAGGGTGGGCAGAACCCTCGGTCTCCAAACATTTTTTGTGCTAGTTTGACTTTCTGCTGTGAGTCCTGGTCCCAGTCTTGCTTGAAACCCCATGAGGTTAAGTTCACCACCCAAGGGGCCTGGAATTTTCCCAGCCATAGGGATGAGCTTCTAGTTCAGAGGTGAAAGAGGGCTTCTGGGGGATGGTGGAGCTCTCAGGATCCAGCATTTCCCTGTGCTCAACCGTGGGTTTCCATTCAGTAGAACAGGGTCTGCCTTAGAAAGCAGGAGAAACTTTCTTCTCGTAGTTTCCAAAACCCAAAGACGGGGCCCAGCAGGAACTTCGACTGGACCCAGGAGATCCCAGGATGCCAGGGCGCTACAAGCCCTTGATTACTGAGATGGCCCAGCCAATGGGCCCAGCTCCTGGAAGGCACGGTCAGGTAGTTTTGCAAGGACAGCCCACGACTAGGACAGACGGACCCTCACAATCACACTGGAGTTGGTAAAAGGGACTCCATATTGCTCGTTCCCGAACTCCAGGTTCGACACCCATTGTTCAAAAGACACAAAGCGAACGCCCTTCTTGAAGTTGGAGAACACATGGCTGCCCTACAGACAGAAAAAGGTAAGCCTCGTTGTGACATAGCCTTCCCCTCAAAAGCTGAGCTGGGGGCCTTCTAACAGGTGTATTTTCCATAGATGGCTGCAACAATGTCTCCAGTTCCACGTGTACTTCTAGAATCATGCCACTCCTCACCCAGGAGTGGAGTCTAATTTCCGTCCCCTTGAATCTATCTGGGTGGGTTTCCTTGTAACCCAGAGTGTGGTGGAAATGACGCTGAGTGACTTTTGCAAAGTGACTTCCAAGGCTGGGTCAGAAAGGCAATGCAGCTTCTGCTGGTTTCTCCTGAAACCTCGTGGTGGAGGCTCTTGAGCCACCGAGAAGCAGTCTGACTGCCCTGAAACCGCCATGCTGTGAGGAAGCCCAAACTAGACCAAGCAGAGAGATCCCAAGGCCAAGCTCTGAGATTAAACTAAGAGCTGCTTGGCCAGCCACCAGCTGCTGTATACACACTCACACCCCACCCTGCCATTCAGCTCCAGCCAGTGTCTGAAATGCAGCCACATGAGAGACCAGAGCCAGAAACTCCCAGCAGAACCCTACTCATAGAACCTATGAGAGGTGAGAAAATGACTGCTGTCAATATTAAGCCACTAAATTTGGGGGCAGTTTGTTATGCAGCAGTAGATCAGCGTAGGCCCTACCATCCTTTCCCCACAGAGACTGACCTCAAAGGGGACGCTCCTCCACCGCCGGATGGGAAAAGGATTCGAAGAGAAATGATGCAAGACAGCCTGGTTGACGTCTAGAATTTGCACAATTAGCTGATATATACGTATACGGTTAGTGCCTCTTTGTTCCATCCAGCTGTGGGAGAAGGGAAACCTTAAAGGCTGGACCTGTCGCCCATTCTCTTTGAGGGGCTGCCTCCCCCACCTGAATGGCCTTCCCATGTATACAATCCCAAAATGGTGCTGTGGTCCCCAGAATTAGCACCATTAGTGTCACTTGGGAGCTTGGCCCCTCTGCATACCCAATGAATCCATCTGTGCTAAATGTGCTCCCCAGCTGGTCTGCATGCACATTCAGGAGTAATGACCTAAAGCTGTGCTCTTCAAGGTACCTCCTCCCATATTATTTCTCATTCTATATTTCACTGGTAGCAGAAGATGTCATTTCCAATGTGTTCAATGGTGATGTTTTATCAGTCGTTTTAAAGGATCCAGGGGAATCTATCTATGGTAACAGAATTCAGGATGGTGGTACCCTTGTGTTGGAAGCGATGGGGAATGGGGCATGAGGGACGCTGAGGGTGGGGATTGCTGGCAACATCCTGTTCTTGGTGTAAGTGAAAGTGTTCAATTTGTCATAATTCATTGAATTTCACACTCAAGATATGTGCCTTTTTGATATTAGAAATTTTAAAATTTAAAAACAAGAGTAATTGGTTATATAAATACACAAAGAAGTAACTTTCTTTACAGAGACTTCACATCACTCCACTTATTAGACTTAGATGTCCATTCTACTCCCAGCTTTTGTCCTTATATAATAATATTATGTTCTTTGGACTTATCTTTCATGCTTTTCTGTGCCAGCCACACACACACAAAGAATATAATTAGACATTTAAAATTTTCTTGTGACCATAAAGCTCTAGGTGTCAACATCTTTTCTTTTAGATTATTACTTACTAGTGGTTCCAGTTATAGCTACAGATTGGAATCATCTTCATTCTTGAAAAGATATCGTATAGAAAAATTTTTTGGCCTGTCCAAAGCTGTGGTCTTTGCCCTCTGCTACTGGGATGTAATCTCTGGACACTTGGAATGTTATGTCTGACAGGAATAACCTTCTTTGCCTACAGACTTGGGTCATAGTGGACAGCCAGCCAGTGTGATTTGGTGGGAGCTGGCCACATCCATATAGATAGTCTATAATGGGGGCTAGCCGCTCCAGGAAAACCAACAATATGACTTACGATGAATCACGCAGTACCGGTTGACCTGGAGGCTGAGATGATACACATGATAAAGCCCCTATAAACTCAGGCCAGCTTCCCTGGTTGGCAATATTCCATGCATACTGTCACCCATGGATGCCAGCAGAGTCAGGTGTCCTGACTCCACGGGGAGCGAGAGGGCAATGGAAGTCTGGTGTTGGACGCTTCCCCTGGATGCTGCCCTGTGATCTTCCCATGGCTAATTTTAGTCTGTATCTTTTCCCTGTAATAGGAGTTTTCATTCAGTTCTATGTATTTCTAGTCAATTACTGAGTCTGTGGGTGGTTTTGGAATTGTGCCCTCTAACGTTGCAGTTGGCTCTAAACTTCTCAAAGATATTGATGCCTGACTCTCTCACCCCAGACACTCCAATTTAATGAATATGATGTGTGACCCAGGCATCAAGAGTTTTCAGTGTTCCTGGGTGATGTATGGCAAAATTGGGAATCACGGATTATTACAATGAAAAGCTACATCATTGCTCTAAGCGACACAAAGGTGCTTCAATAATTTATAAATGATTAAGTGAAAAACAGAAGTTTACTGTAAATATATCTCCTAATGAGGTGCGTTTTCGGGGTGGGGTTCGCGAGGGGAGTTTAAGATGTCTTGATTGAAACTGACTGTGGTAAGGCTGAAATTTCAAATGGTCACTTTGCCTGTCTCCCCAGACAGAGGTCTTTACATCTGTGGACCATACATCTTAGTGAGGGGCTTTTTTTTTTTTTTTTTCTGTAAAACTGGAGGGATGAGAGATAGGAATTGGGAAAGCATAACCAATGATGCTCCCACCATGGATGTGATCTGTAGCTGATGAATTTGAAAACAGGGAACATACAAGTGTAGAGAATTTGTAATTTGCCTCCCTTAAAATTATCTGGGTCATGTATCCCTTGGAAAGTCTTCGTGGACCTCAGTTTCAAGACCATCATACAGTGCACAAGAGTCAGACAAGTATGAGCCTCCTGCCAGGTCTTGCCAAGCCCTAGCTGTGCCACCAGGGGAAGTCACCTCCCTTTCTGAACTTCTCAATTTGAGGTCTTAAAATACACTTTCCCACAGGATCAAGGATCACGAAGGGTGCTAAAACAGCTCAAACTTCAGAGCATTGGCTTCGTGCTTGCCGTCAGTCAGCAGAAGGGCAGTTTTTATCATCACACTCACCAGGCAGAGACACAGATCTCAATCTTTCCACTGTCCAGGAGTTCTGGCCAGAAACCCTCCTCCTCCAGGTCCAACACTTCCTTCTTTTGAAACCACCTAAGAAAGAGGAAGGTCAAGAGAACAGGCGAGTACTCACCCCCACAGCCCTGGCCCTTGGGGAATGGGGAGGGACATTTACCTGTAACCAGGTAGGTAACAGGCAGGTAGGAAGTGGACATCACAAGGAGTTGCAGTCCAGCCGTCTCCACCGCTCAGCATAGGCTGTTTCTGGAAGCCATCTGTTAAGTAAAAAATTTTGTGCCCAAATTCTTCCAACCTGTCAGCTCAGGTATAAGTCCCAGGGGTTTCCCCTGTGGTCCATCGCCGCCCCGCCCTCCAAACCCTAGAGGTCGGTCGCAGGCCTCTGCACCCTCGCACCGGGTCACAGGAGGACCCCTTTCCTGGGCTCCCCACCTAGGCCCCTGGGGTTCCGGAGGAGGTTGCGTCCTATGGGTCTGCGCTCGCAGAAGCGGCCCAGGACGCAGGGCCTGGGGTCGTCGGCGGCGGGCAGGCAGGTGCTGACGATGCGCCACAGGGCGGCGTGTTTCCGGGCCAGGATGCTCAGCCACAGGGCCTGGCAGTCCACCAGGTCGCGCCAGCGCCGGCACACCCGGCGGCAGCGCCCGAGCAGCACGTGAGGGGGCACGTGGCTCAGCACCATCTCGAGCAGCTCCGTGGGCAGCTGGCCCAGACCCAGCGGCTCCTCGGGTTCCTGCTCTAGCAAGGAGATCCCGACAGGCTGGGCCCTGGAGGAGGTCTTCTCGCCAGGCTCCGCTGCGACTGCGGGACAACCAGTGCCAAGATGTCAGAGACCTGCAGCCTCCGTCAGTCCCGCCCCTGCCAGCCACACCCCAAGACTGTCAGCCCCCAAACCCCGTCAACCGCCTCCCCAACCTCACCACCCCCAGTCTTGTCCTCAAGTCCCCAGACTCCCAACCTGTCCTTGCCGGGCTCCCATCCCCTCCCCTCTCCACCATGCGCCCCAAACACAGCCCTGGACAGCCAACCGGCTCTGGGGCTGCACGGACCCCTGAGTCCTACCCTGCATCTCAGCCAGCGCTCCTCCTGGGTGGGCCATCACCTTGCTTCACGTGCCCTTATCTCTTCCTCTCCCCTTTTAATTCACCCGCCCCTCCCTTCTTAATAGCCAGCACCACCCTGCGGCCCCATCCTCCCTCTAACTGCCAGTCTCTGAGCGCCACTCCCTTCTCACTGACCTGCACCCTCCTCCCTCTGCTTCGCGCGATTTACAGGCCAGCACCTCCCGTCCCGTCCCCGCCTCCAGTAATCTCCAGACACCCTCTCCTTTGGGCTGTATTCAAATCCCGAGGAAACTACCAAACAGAATCCGCAGAAGAGGGAGGGAGTAGGAACGCCAGGACCCAGAGTCTCTCGCTCTTCGTTCGCCCCAGTGGCCCCTTGGAGGGTCCCTAACCAGGCTGTAAAGCCCTTGGTGCTGAACAACTCCTGTTATTCAGTCAGGCCTCCGGACGGGAGGCCTCATATTGTTGCCGAAATATCGGCTTACCTGTGCACCGAGGCCGAACAGAAATACGGAGACAGGGATTTTAGGAAGAGAGGGATAGCTTTATTATTCGGCCAGGCAGAAGGGAAGACACAGCAGGCTAGCGCCTCAAGAACTGTGGGAATCCTTGAGAATTGGAGATTTTATATGTGGGACTCGAAGTCCGGGGTATATGATAAGGATCAAAGTAGTGAAGGTCTTGCGTTCTTCCTTTCCTTTGCATTATTTCAAAACAGTCAGAGCTGGCGTCAGGCCGCGCGATAATTGGGGTCCGGCAGCCTGGTAATTGCGTCCGTTTGCCTCCGGTTTATTGGCTGCTGACCTTGTCTCTGAAATGCAAAAACTCTAAGAGGTGATTTGTTACAAGGGGCGTATAGAATATAAGTGCCGCGACCTAATAAGGTTAGGGAGTGAGGGGCGCGGGATGTAACTCACACAGCGTTAGGGGTGATAGGTGCCGAATGTAAATTACATAGTGTCAGGGAGTGAGGTTGGCTTTGTAAGGTACAAATCTAGTTACTACAGATTAGTGACAGTTGAAGTAAAACAAGGAGTGATTAACTCTTCCCGGCCAGGTTTTGTTTCTTCTCTAGCCTGTTTGCTGTTCCCTTTATTTTCCTTGTTCTCAGGGGAGGGAAAACTTCATTTCTATTTTTGCTGCAACAATATTCCTTAGTTCCTGTAAAAATTCCTATCACATTTAAGGATCCAGCATCACTAACTCAGAGATCATTGCACAGGAGAAAGCAGGCTCCAGCAGGATCTAAATGCATTTCTGACTCCCTAAATGAGTGCTGTAACCAGTAATAACCCCAGCCAAACTTCAGGGAGCCTCTTACTACCAGTCAGGGTAGCAACCCCCTGAGGGAGATATTGCTGTGTCCCTACTTCCCAGGTGAGAAAACTGAGGCCAAGTGACCTGCCCAAGCTCACACAGCTAGTAGGTGACAGAGCTGGGATTTGCACCTAACCAGGCTGCATCTAGAATCCTTGCTTTTAATCTGTATACCAACTCTACCCAATAAAAATAAAATGTGTGCTACACATATAATTTTTCAGTATCAGCAAGTAAAACCAGACATGGTTTCTTGCCCACATGGAACTTACCTTCAAGGGGGAGAGACATGGTAAACAGGAGACAGAATAAGCAAGTTATATACTGTTGGGGAAATCATTAAAAATAAAATCTGCCAACCCCCAACATTCTCTTCACAATTGTAGAAAAGATTCAGAGTTTCATTATGGAATAAACATTAAATCAGACTGTAATTCACATGGGCCATGATGAGCAGTGGATGTGACATGGAAATTGTGTAGTGTGTAGTGTAGGTGATCAGTGCTCTGGGAAACAGAGCAGGCAAGGGGAAAAGGGCCATAAGCAATCTGGGTGGGGAGATCCTGAATTCTGAGAGATGGATTGACTATTACACGGGCCAAATTTCTTTTCGATACATACACTGTCAATAAAATTATTACTATTGAGGTTTTCCAACATATCCCAAAGTGGAATAGTGTAAGGAGCTCCAGCAGTTAACTCCCGAACCAATCTGGTCTCATCTCTACTCCCACCCACTTGCTCCTCCAGGCAATTTGAAGAAAATCTTAGAAACCACACCCTGCTGCCCATAGCAGTACTTTTTTTTTTTGGCCATGCTGCAGAATGTAAATTGGTGCAGCCAATATGGAAAACATTATGAAGTTTCCTCAAAAACTAAAAATAGAGTTGCCATATGATCTTGCAATCCCACTCCTGGGCATATATCCAGAGAAAACTATAATTCCAAAAGATACATACACCCCAGTGTTCATTGCAGCACTATTTACAATAGCCAAGACATGGAACCAACCTAAATGTCCGTCCACAGATGGACAGATAAAGGATAAAGATGTGGTACGTATATACAATGGAATACTACTCAGCCATAAAAAAGAATGAAATAATGCCATTTACAGCAACATGGATGGACCTAGAGATTATCATACTAAGTGAAGTAAGTCAGAAAGAGAAAGATAAATACCGTATGATATCAGTTATATATGGAATCTAAAATATGACACAAATGAACTTATCTATGAAGTAGAAACAGACTCACAGGTATAGAGAACAGACTTGTGGTTGCCAAGGGAGAGGGGGTTGGGGGAGGGAAGGATTGGGAGTTTGGGATTAGCAAATGCAAACTATTTAATCTAGAATGCGTAAACAACAAAGTCCTACTGTATAGCCCAGAGAACTGTACTTAGTGTTCTGTGATAAGCCATATGGCTAAACAAACAAACAATAAAACCCCAAGAAGAAAGGAGTAACAATCACAATAAATCCGTGTTAGTGAGATCGTGGTGTGATGAAATAATATGTATATTTTGAGGCAGGACAAGAGAAATTAAAAATAAAATTCTCTCCGTGTGCTTTTTTGGGCCTCCTCTGTCCCTCCCTAATGCAACGTGTGCCTGCATTATGCAATCAACCAGAGCTTCTCAAAGATGGCAGTGCCTGCTCAATTGTAAAGATCATTTTTTCCCCTTTCTTCTGAAGGTTCACAATGTACCTTCCTGAAGGATAGAATTCTTTCCCAGCTCTGTGGGGGTCATGGTGACTTACTACTCATTTTGTATATTCTTACCTGGACTAGGTATCCTTGGTGAACTTGATGTAAAATATCATATGTCATTTTGTTGTACAATCCTTTGTCTAGAAAATGTATATGACTGTACCTTCGACTTCTAACAGGCAGAATGGTTCTCAGAGCTTTCTGAGAATCTGCTTCCAGCATTATAACCCTGTTTGGCTTGAAGAAAATTCCCTTTTTTTTTCTTTTTTAACTTGAGAGTTTATTGAATTTTCATCGACATTTTCTTGGTGTAGTCTGCAGGATATTGGAGACACCCACTAAAGGACACCAGGAGCCCCCCACCGTGAAACTTTGAGCCCCACCAGCTTCTCGGTATTCCTCAGGTGCTTCTCAAAGTTCTCCTGATATCCGGACATCATTGCTTAAATGCTGTCCTGAATTTTACTCCTGAAATTTATCTTTTTCTTGGGACTTGGAGTCCTGAAGGGGTTCAGGTACATTTCCTAGGCAAGGACCTAGGGGGAAATCTGGAGCGAATTGGGTTGTCTTGTCCTTTTTTAAAATTTGGCTTAGGGCTTCCCTGGTGGCGCAGTGGTTGAGAGTCCGCCTGCCGATGCAGGGGACACGGGTTCGTGCCCCAGTCCGGGAGATATCCCACATGCCGCGGAGCGGCTAGGCCCGTGAGCCATGGCCACTGAGCCTGCGCGTCCAGAGCCTGTGCTCCGCGGCGGGAGAGGCCACAACAGTGAGAGGCCCACGTACCGCAAAAAAAAAAAAATAATAATTTGGCTTAAATTGGGAAGATTATGTGTATATGGTCTGAACCAACTGTTTGCTAGTGAAATGAGCCTGCACAGCTCTGAAGGAAAAGGGTCAACTGCTCCTTCTGGCCATGAGGTGGTCTGAGGTGACTGAGAACCTAGGGGAAGTGTCTGAGGATCAATCCTCGTGACCTGTAGCAGTCCCACAGAGGATCCCACTACAATCATTAAGTAAATTCTGCTTGTCATCGGGGCATAATAAAGGTTGATCATGTAGTGCCCTGAGCACCCCTGGCAGTTTTAGACCACTGGAGGGAGAAACTGAGACAGGTAAGAGAGTCGAACCAACCCAAGGATAGAACACCCTTGGTGAGCTAGACTCAGAAGCAGCACGCATTCGCTCCATCACAACCGCCCTCAGAACGTTGTTCAGATCATATCTGAATTAGGCTGCCAAATTAATAATGGGAAACCATGCCTCAAAGGCCAAACAGCTCCTGGATGGGCAGCCACTAGCGGGAACTCTGCCTGGTTTCATGTACAATTGGAACAAAGCCAATGCTCGAAAGCACTTATCTTAACTCTTAAATGGCCAGCGGGGAGCTCTTTTCAATTTTAGAGAAAGTCAGCTTGAAAAAACACCTTTTCAAAGTTCTGACCCCAAGAGAATGAAAGTATTCCTAGGAGGGACTTCCCTGTTGGTCCAGTGGTTAAGACTCCACGGTCCCACTGCTTGGGGGCATAGGTTCGAAGATCCCGCATGCTGTGAGGTGGAGCCAGTTGAAAAAAAAAAGTATTCCTAGGAGAAAGCTTGAAGTTATAACGTTTATTACATCCTTGAAATGTAAACACAGCCCACATCATCTGAGAATACATCCTTAGCTCAGTTAGTAGAACTTAAAACTGAAAGGAAGGAAAAAAAGGGAAAAGGGGGGCTTCCCTGGTGCTGCAGTGGTTGAGAGTCCGGCTGCCGATGCAGGGCACAGGGATTCGTGCCCCGGTCCGGGAAGATCCCGCATGCCGCGGAGCGGCTGGGCCCCGTGAGCCATGGCCGCTGAGCCTGCGCGTCCCGAGCCTGTGCTCCGCGACGGGAGAGGCCAC